ACGTTAAGTATTCAACACTCCATCGCTTCCAAAAATGTTGAGTTATGCGCTGAGTCAATTGCCATCTGTCAAGTCTGTTAATAGGAACGTCTAATACATTTATATCTGGCAAACTAATAAGCGGTCCCCCTATTAAAAAATGTGCGGGCGTCAAAGCCTGTAAATCGTTAGGATCAGAGGACAATTGACATAGCGGTCTTGAATTTAAGCAAGCTTCAATTTGAGCTAAAACAGTCATAAATTCCTCGAAAACGAGTCGCGTTTCGCCAACAACTCTTTTTAAATGGTATTTACACGATTTTATTCCTGCTTCCCAAATACCACCCATGTGAGGCGCATGGGGGGGAATAAATTTCCATTCTGTGCTTTGAGATGTACAATATTCCTCTATCGATTTGGAAAACGTTCTGATTGTCCGATACAATTCCTCAAGCTCTCTTTTTGCGCCGACGAAATTAGTGGCATTGTCGCTATAAATTTTTTGCGGATAACCTCGTCTGCTTACAAAGCGGCGCAATGCAGCCAAGAACGCACTCGATGTCAACTCACTGACTGCTTCTAAATGAACCGCTTTAGTCGAAAAGCATATGAACAACGCAATATATGATTTGCGACTTCTTTGTCCTCGGCCCTTACTCGCAACCGTAACAATAGGGCCAGCGTAATCAATTCCTACTATCGAAAATACTCGCTGATAAGCGGTAACTCTATCCGGTGGCAACGATCCCATTATTTGATCTGACAACCTTGGCTTAACCCTGAAACACGTTACGCATCTCCTTGTTATTCTACGAGCAGTGTTGCGGCCGTTCAAAGGCCAAAATCTTTCCCGAATTGAAGAAAGCAAAGCTTGTGGACCGGCATGTAGCATACGACAATGTTCCCGTTCAAATAATAGTTCCACAAATCGACATCTTGCCGGCAGCAAAATCGGATGTTTTTTGTCATGATTAATAGCGGATCTCTGCAACCTGCCGCCCTGAGAATCCCATCGTTATCTAAAAATGGACTCATATGGGCAAGCGCGCTGTTTCTATTTACGCGATCGTTAATTAAGTCATCCAACTCCCTTGTAAAAAATTGCTCTTGAACATGTTTGATTAATTTTAATTGCGACAGATGCAAATCCCTCACGGATAAGTTATCAAAATTGCGGTTCTCGAGATTGTTTCTAGAATTCGTAATGAATCGATAACACCAAGCAAGTACTCTTTCGATTTTGGTTAGTGACGAAATTTTGAAATCATTGTTTCGATTATCGACTCGGAATTAGCTCGAGCAACAAAAACTCGCAT